CGTCCCAGAGGTTAGGTGGAGCCCCACACCCGATACGCATCGCACGCCCCTTGCCGTGGATGGTACGGTGGAAGCATTCCACCTTCCCGTTCCGTGAAGAGACGTGTGGGGGAGTCCAGATGATCGCGATCCCCCGACTCGCACACCAGTTGATGAACTCATCAGATTTCAGCTCGCCGTTGTCGACAATGTATGTGCCCACGCGTTCGTTGAGGCGCGCTGTCGTTTCGAGCTCCCACGCCTGGAGGATGGCAAAACATGATGATTTATTCGGTACAGGGTAGGCCCATCCGCGCGTGGTGTGCGCGTCGACGATATCAAATGTGTATTCGTTTCCGCTTCTCGATTTCGTCGCAATCCTCCCGCTCAGGTCCACGTGCACCTTCTCCAGCCGTCGCGTTGTAGGGGGTTGCTCCCGCACCTTAGGTACGTTCGTGCGTGCCTGTTTGCCCAAGATACAAGCGTCACAAACCGGGGCGTCGACGGATGGGTCAAGATCCATACCGTCAACGTGTCCGTATGAGAACATATCTGCAACTGCTTGATGATGAGCGTGACCCAGGCATAGATGCCAGTGACGAAGATCGCGGGCGGAGGCGGAGGCGGCGTGCGCGGAGAGGGCGGTCGGCGAGGTGTGAAGGCGGTATAAATTTCGAGTGGGATGTACCGAGCCAGAGCAAACGACGGACTGGGATGAGTCGGTGATCCATACGGAGGAGGCATTGAAATGGAATGTGAAGCGGTTCGCTTGGCAGAGGCGTAGGACGGAGAGGAGGCGCACAGAGGCGTTCGGAACGTAGAGGGCCTGTATTTGCTCGAAGTGGGCATTGACGATGGTGCCGACGCCGGTGGCATTGATTGAACTCCCCTGGAAGCCACGTATAGGATGAGGCGCGATTTCCGTGAACGTGACAAAGTCAGAGCGGACTGGGCTGATGTGTACGTTCGCCCCGGTATCCGCGTATACGTCGTACCCATTGGCGTCGGCGCTGGCAACGAATGGCGCGTTCCAGTCGATCGAGACGTGTGGGTCGTCCTCGGCGAGCCAAGCCTCTGGCTCACGGACGAAGGCGCCGGCTTCAGGGAGCTCATCCGTAAGAAGGGTGTTGGTTGGGTCAGCGTACGTCATGTTCGCAGCGGGGACGGCGGACGCATGCGGGGTGTCGAGGGCGGGTATTGGGCAAAGCACCCCCTCCACTGTGATATATGCGCGCCCTCCGGAGTCGCGGGAGACGCGCAGACCCTTCGAATCCTTCTTGGGCTTGGGCACATTCGACGACGTCCCCTTATCCATCTGATACTTCTGCTGGGCTTCCCGAATTGACTTCCCGTCCATCCCGCCCCCTTTACTGGTGCAGTAAGGCCATGTGTGGGTAGTCGGCTTCGGGCAGACCGTGTTCGTGCAGAACATAGTGGATGTCGTGGTCGTGGCGGCGTGAGCGGAAGTATCCCCCGTCGTGCTCTCCTCCTGCCGGCGCAGCTGTTTCGCATCAAGGGTGGCCAATGCGGACGCAAGCGTGAGGTTAGGTTGAGAAAGGAGGGTCGACGCGATCGTGGGGTGATGCGCCTCGAGCGCCGAGATGATACCGCTGAGCAAGAAAAGTTCGGGATTTGGCGGTCCGCACTGCCATATAGCCTCGTTGTATTGGGTGAGGAGTGTCGTCGTCGCGGCAAACGTGAGAGGGTCCGATGCGTAGGATATATTTGCAAAACGCTTGAGCGCCGACACCTGGCCAGCCGGCCCGCGGACGAGGTGGCGGTAGCGGAGCGTCCCGTAAGCCTCGGCAGCTGTGGAGCAGTGGTCGATATACGTACGCTCAGTCGCCGTGAGCACGTCGCGGAGGAAAGAGAGAACGACGCTGTCAGTCTCCATCCACGCTCGGTGATGTCCCGGGTAAAGCTGGAACGAGGGGCACTCATTCGGGTCGTCGGGGTTGATGCCAAGGAAGCGCTTGGCTCCAGGAATCATCCCGAGCTGGTTCTCGACCCTCGCCGACCAGTCACGCCAGTTATTCCGCTCAAAGGAGAGACGCTGGTCATCCTTCCAGGCTGACGTGCTGAGCGGAAAAACTTTGGGGATAGGGCCAGCCGCCGCAACGATCTCCGACGCAGACATGGGCACCGTGGGCGGGGCCATGTGGTGGGGATGTGCGGGCGCGTGTGACGCGGAGGTAGGAACCGCGTACGGGTGCGGCATCGCCTGGTGAAGCCCGGGCGCATACGGGTACACGGGCACGTAAGGGTGCGCCGGTGTAAGGAGAGGGGGAGGCGGAGGCACGCGCGGCAGTACAAAGGGAGCACGCTGCGGCATGGGCAGGTGCTGCGGTTGGTACACGGCGTGTTGAGCGAACTGGGGTTGCGGCGGCGGGTACACAGCGTGAGACGGAGCGGGAGCGTACGTCGTGTACATCTGCGACGCAGGCGCCTGCTGGTGCGGAGCCATCGAGTGGGCAGGACGCGCCAGAGAATGAGCGTGCTGGGCGGCCAATGCACCCAGAACGGCTGGTCTCGACGGTCGGTTCGGCGTTACGAACGGCGGGGCGGGCAGGGGTCGTGAACTCGATTGCGACTGGGCGACGCCTAGCGGGTTGGAAGAGGAATGAAGGGGAAGCTGAGACGAAGCCATGTCGAGTCGAGGGGTATGATTCGTTGCGCGCTGCGCGATTCGTAAGAAAAAGAGCGTCCAGCTCGCGGAGGCCACCAGGTCGCTTGGAATATAGTCCGGAGTTCGCGTCGTCAACGGGAACTCAAAGGCCCATAACCAGTTGGAAGCTATACTCCAATGTAAGTAATTATCCTTACTGCGACTTGGTAGAATGCGAGTAAGGGACGCCAGCGCGCCGTCACGGTATATCAACACACGTGACGGTCACACTGAGGTAATGTAGGCCGTGTACGCTGGAAACATATTCACCGTGCAACTCAATTACCTGATCGTAACCGCCATAAACCGCGGGGTCCTCACGATGCTTACCGCAGCGCTCAACATTATCCTGGTGCGCCTGAATTAATCTATATCTCGATTCACCTCACAGTTACGTGCCCTTTAGTTTTTCGCGGAGCCAGGGACATTTTATTTCATGGTTGGCCTAGACTTGAGTGGCAAATGTGCGTGAATGTTGCATCATTTCATATCCTTGAGCTGATAGTGGGGCAGTCTACATGAACAGTATGCTCGCCACGTAAGGACCTGCTCGTCAAAGTCAATCCAAACTGACTCATCACGCGCCAACACGCCGCCAGCATGCTGGGGAGGACCGTCGAGAGTGTCTCAATGCAGGGTGCCGCGATGAGTGCTTTTGCTGTAAAGGACCCCAGAACACTCGAGTCTGGGACCAACGGCGGGACCGCGACAGCGGCGGATAGTGTCGGGTGAGCTTCGTTTTGAGTTGTCGGACGAATTTGCTGAATTGTCTCCAGGGAGGCGAAATATGTGCTTTAGCATGGCCGCGGACGGTGATTTGATGGACCTGGATCGTCGAATTGAACGGACTCCTTTTTATTTCCGTGCTATCTAACGTTATCCTTCTGCCAAAAGCTTTTGCGTGCAGAGCTTGGAGAGATCTATCCTTCAAGTATCATCTTGTCCAAAAGGACAGACATGGTCAGTTCAAGTTCCAATTGTATTTCTCTCAAGCGCACCAATTGAAGCCTGATCCGTTTTTTAATGTTGTAAATGGAGAGGTCTTTATAATTACTTATTAGGCCGTTGAAGCAGGTTCTGTGCTCTAGTCTTACCTGTAAAACTCCCTCAGTCAAGGTTGTGTGTCAAAAATAAATTATCTTGTCCAGGTTCAGTGGGAGCCCAGTGTTTGATTTTGGCATAGCATAAGGACAGGAACCAAATGAGCAATGTATCGGCTCGGTGGTGGACGGTGGATCTTCCGCGCCTGTGTTCTGTGAAGTAGGAGTCGAGCTCCAGCAGGACCGCCCGTTCGACTTGGGTCCGAGCCATACCTATGGCGAGCAATTTTAATGTTTTGGGGCCGCAAGGAGAGTTCTGTGCTCGAGCTTACTTCCTGCCAACGCCTCCAGTTCAGGTTATGTCTTGAGAATAAAATCCCGTCCCCAGGTTCAGTGGGATACGAGTTGTTGAGTCTGCGCAGCATAAAGCATGGGAGCAAAGTAGACATTGCACGGCTCGGTGGTGGACGGCACGCCTGCATATTTTCATCGATAACAGCTCCCATGCTCAGCAAGTGCGCGCGTTCGACTCGGGCCCGAACCATCCATGGTTCCACATTATCGATTTTTTGGTGTTGCAAGTGGAGAAGAGTCCTGTGCGCGAAAGCAATTCTCGTCAGTATGTAGTGTTGAAAATGCTTGGTCAGGCTCACACGCGTATTCAGCATTCCAAAACTCGCTGGTGAAAGGAAGGAGCAAAAGAGCCTTGTACCGGCTCGGTGGTGGGTGGCCCACGCCTGCGTTCTGTGTCTTGTGGGGTCGTCCATTATATCAGTAGGAGTGCCTGTTCGACTCGGGCCTGAGCCATATCATTCTTTTTCCTTTTATTTTTTGGCGTTGGACTTGTGTCGGACGAAGTCTTGTGCTAGAGGCAATTTTTGTCAGCGTTCAGGTACCTCTTGTGTTGCAAATACTCGGTCAGGCTCACACGTGGATTCAGCATGCGGGTGAAGGGAAGGAGCAAAGGAGCCTTAGAACGACTCGGTGGTGGGTGGCCACGCCTGCTTCCTGTATGTCGAGCAGAATGTTTTTACATCAGCAGGAACGCGTGTAGGGTGCTCGATTATTTTTTTTTGTGTTGCGAAGAGTTCTTATGCCGGAGGATATTTCTTCCCGTGTAGATTCAGCGTCCAGCTGCGGACGGTAAATTAAACTTACTCGCTGAGTGTACCGTCAAGAGAGTCTAAGGAAGCGAATGGCGGAAAGGAGTCCCGCAGGGCCGCACTAGCGTCATCGTTGGCTGTCGGCGAGAATCCTAGCCTCCCACGCTGAAATTGACTCACTCGCAAGACCCGAGAGCGAACGAGACAGACATCGGCTCGGTGGTGGGCGGTCCACGTTTGCGACTTATAAATAAAGTTTTATTGATCGTTGACAGTAAAGGTGCCCGTTCGACTCGGGCCTGAGCCATTTACGAAAGATATCGACGTGGGACGAAGGGACGCTGCCCAGCGTGAATGGGGCGGATTGACAGGCGGCATGGATGGGGAAATAAATCCTCGCCCGGAAAGGCAGGATCCATAAAAGGCACTGGTAGCATTGTTCGCGATCCCGGATCCACGCGAAAATCCGAATCACTCGCTGGCGTTCGTTCGCTCCTACATTATGACGAGTAGATACCAGGCCTGTGTGATACGTCATCATTTAGCACGTCTACTGGCGTTAATGAGGTCAGTTATAAATAGGCTGTAAAAAAAGAAAGTTGAAAATCGCACACTAAGGTGGGAGTGGTAGAGAATATTAATATCGAGGGATCAGAGCATCCGGGCAGCCAATGTCCATGGATACGGGGGAGCTTCCGGTACGCACGTCGCGTAGAAACTGACAGAATCGCAGCGAAGGTGCCACCGAGTGCGCAGCATTCGGGACCTATTCCGGTCCGGAAGCATGGATCCCACGAGGATGGCCCGAGGAGAGAGGAGAGTTCAGTACAGTCTTGCTCTAGATCCTACAGCTATACGAAAGGAACCTATGCGAAGCTGTAAGCTGTAAAGCTGTAAATTGTGCCGATGGGGCACCGTCGGAATGATGCGGCGCACACCGCCACCCGATAAGGCCCGCGCAAATCACGCGTCACACGTCCCCACAATTGGATTTGCATCTTGTGACCCGTGACGTCTAGCTCCTTCCTTTCCGCCCCCATGCCATTGCGCAGGCACCACCCTGCACTCGCGCTCATCGTCGCCCTCGTCGGTGGCGCATCCCTCGTCGCTGCCCAGAATAGCCCGGACAGCCGACATATCACCCCCTCTGCTGCTGGGATCGGCTTTGTCGTTGGTGGGCGCATTTTTGTCTTGTGAGCCGATTCAGAGCTGATGAACTCTTGCTTTCTCTTTCTTTCTTGCTTTCTGCTTCTGCTCTTTGTCTGCGTTTGATTTTTTTTTCGTGTGGGTGCAGCCGCGGTCCTCCTGTTCCTCCTGTGCTGCTGCATCCAACGGCGCAGGGTCGCGCAGCGTGCGAAGCCGCCATACGTTGCACCGCCTTTACCACTCCATGCGGGTAGTCGTTTCCCGCATGGAATGCAGTACGGCACACCGCTCGTCGCCCCAGCCCAATATCCCTACCCCTCCCCTGCTGGTGGGTACCCGAATGCTTTGAGCGAGTACCCGCCCGCGGGGGCGGCCGATTGGGCCCCACCGCCGTATGTAAAGGAGGGGGGCGACGTGCCTGGACATTATGCACCGGTGCGTTGTTCTATCGCATGTATTTCTGAGCGACAGGGCTGAACTCCTTTTTTCACAGCCCCCGGGCCCGCCACCCGGCTTTGAGGCGACGTATTCTCCGGTGCGTCTCCCTCGTGTTTTCCTACAGCAACTTGAGCTCACTCCGTTGTATTGTACAGCCCCCAGGCCCCCCGCCGCGGGCCCACATCTCCGTGCGTCTTTCTCCGCTCCCTTCCGCCTGTCGTTCTGCCTCGGCTGACTGACATGATCCACAGTCCAACTCACAGGACTTCAGCGGTGGCTTCCGCCCCCCGGCCTCCTAGCACTCCTTATGCCTCACGGACGACTGACGATGATCCTCGGATGAGACACGATGAAGTACGAACGGACTCGGCACGAACACCCTATGATATCCTCCGCGTGTAGTCTGCCTCTCCCTCCCGCAGGCAGCTTGTATTTGTATCCTTGTATCTGTGGCATTGGAATTATGGGTGGACTGGATTGTTGGTGCGCGTTCTTCGTGAGGGATCCCTCGACATTTGCAGTCCCGCACTAAGCGCGCAAACACGCCTTCCGCGCATGTCGTACATTTTTAGATGCCTTGGATCGGCTGTTCCTGTCCTGTGCCTAGAACATTCCATATCGAACATGTACAGCTCGGTGGCATGCAGCTGGCGGCTGTTTGATTCAGGCTCGAGCTCGAGCCATCCGGACTAAGCTACGCTTTTTTTCGTTCTCCGTCCTTGCTTGGCCGCGTCGTTTTGTGTTCTCTTTTTGCGTCCAGCTCTTCTGAAGGACGCCAGCCGACGGCTATATATTAGCGATCGAAATTTCAAGGGTATGTAGTTTCGGCCTGAGCACTGCAGACTTTCTATAAATTTCTGGACACGCTCTTGACAGCTCTTGATCGCTCTGGAATCAGCTGTTCCAGACCTCAAGCTTCAAGTCGCAAGAGGTCAAGGTAGGTCTGATTTCCCTCAAGTCAAAAAAAAAACTTTTGCCTGCGGGCTGAATGCTCGTTTTCATCACTGATAGCAATATATATATTTTGGGACCGGCCGTGTAATTCTACCTACCTACCTACCTACCGATAATTTTCAATCCCAGAGGAAAAGAGCTTCCAGCGGAAAGCTGATGCAGCTCTTCGGCGTCAGATGCCGGAGTTACCTATTAATAAGAAGCTTCGACGTCTGCAAGCTGATATAGGCTCGGTGACAGAGTGGTTATGCAGCTGCATCTTGTTTGTATTTCAAGACAAGACAATCTTTATGCAGCAGATGCTCGCTCGATTCGGGTCCGAGCTACTTAGGATGGTAAAGTTTTTATTATTATTTCTTTCCTCGCTTTCTCTTCTTTTTGCGTTGGAGTCTCTGGAGCGTGCAGTTTTGCTTCTGCAGTGTCTGAGACTCTGAGCTGCTCCGAAAGAAATATTTCAAAGCGCCGTGGGCAGTCGAGGGGTCTGCAGAATTCATTGTGCACTTTTTTGCCTTTGTCATCCGTTAATCCCCAGACATGCCAGTCAGTTGGGGAACGTCTCTTACAAGTCTTGGGGATGCACTCTTCCGGTTCGATTTATTTCCTCAGCAGATCGGAGGCTGGTCGCTTTTATATTTCACCTGGGCTTAGCCGACATGCATGCGCCCGGCTGGGGACGAAGCACTCAAGATAACCCGTGAGGCAGGATGTAGATGAACCAGCTTGGAGCAGGGGGCCTGCATCTGCAGCTAATGGATCAGCGAGCGAGTTTTCTAGCAGAGGGTGCCCGTTCGACTCGGGTCTGAGCTATGATTTTTAAACCAGCGTATGTGTTGTAGTACATTTACCGGTATTATCCGGGACGGACCGTGCATCACCAAGCCACTACATAGCTATCCTTTTAGCAGACAGTGTTGCCTTGCGGAATCCCCGTGTGCGCCTCAAAACCGACCCGCGACACAATCACACTCGGAATTCGTCTTCTGTTTGGCCAGTAAAAGTTGAACACCGACCCCTGTTCTCATGGCTGGAGCCCGGGTCGAACGGGCACTCCTTCTCTTATGGTCTGTTGAAAGCTTACAAAACGGCCGCGCAGACCGTCCATCACCAAGGCGCTATCCAGTTCACTATGATATTCATATCTACTACTCCAACCAAATAGCCCGCAGTCAAAATGGTCATTGCGCCAAAAACCATTTCTCTCTACTCATGGCTCGAACCCGAGTCCACCGGGCGCTCCGGCTGATCCTGTCGCACAGATGTACAAGCTCCAGGCGTGGAAGGTCCCCAGCGGGCCGATGTATGGGCCCCTCGCTCCCTTACCTTAAGACCTGAGTTCGCAGGAAGTAATTAATTGAACTCACGATCAGAAAATTCACTTCGCAATGTCCGTGCTTCAGCCCCAAGTGAATGAACTCGGTTTAGCAGTACTCACGCGGAATAGCAGTGCCCGAGGACAAAACTCGTCTGCCGTCTAACTGTCCTCAGGACAAAAAAGTCCACATGTCAACCTGCATGGCTCGGGCCCGAGTCGAACGGGGGTGCCTGCTGTACGCAATATAGCTTGAGCCGTTATACGCTGCAAGCGTGGGCCTTCCACCACCGAGCCGATGAAGGTTCGTTTCCTTCCTTCCCTTACCGTTGAGATTCTGTTATTCAACGAACGAAGAGTCAGGCTCGCACGAAGCTAGAAATCAAAATGATTTCAACTCACCAGCCAAGCAGGGCGTGAATCGGTACAACAAGCATGGTTGTCTTCGCACCCGCCCAAAAAGACGAAAATCCGATTCCTGGGCATGGCTCAGCCCCGAGTCGAACGGGCGCTCCTGCTGTACGAGAAAAGTAGAACAGTTATACATTGCAGGTGTGGACCACCCGCCACCGAGCCGTTGTAAGGCTCCTTCGCTCCTTTCTTTCATCTGTGAGTTTCGAATATAGGCGTTAGCTAGAGTCTGAGGAAGGAGCTTTATTTTCAGCGGAGCCGGAGTTGTGAGCGCTGTTTCGGCCTTCTTCGTTTTGATATATATTCAAGCGACGAGGGTGAGGTACGGCCATGAAAATTGGAGGAATCACCGTCTGGTCGTGTAGATTGGAACAGTACGGGCGAAGTGGTGAACTGGCCAACAGCGCGCATCGCATAGAAATGTGCCAGACCCCTGCACAAGCCTCGAGGCGCCCGCATACATAGGTGGGTATGTGGCGCGGGGAGCATGTGTTGTGTCCGCGTTGCAGCCGCCTCGGAGAGTCCAGAGAAAGGCCCGGGAGGAGGAGGAGACCGGCACTGTTTGCAACCACAGCAATGGGCTACGATAACACCAACACCAAAACTTGAAAGGAAGGCGCGAGACGTACGGAGAATACGCCACCTTGAAAGCAGGCGGCCGGCCCGGGGGCTACATCCAAGCAAAACGCACTCATCAACGCTCTCAGCCAAGATAACGTGTGCTAAAGACGCACCGGCGCACGCTGTGGCGGGGGGTACTCGTTGCCGTGCCCATGGATCGGTAGAGGTGCGTATGCCAATCTGAGAAACGGGCAGCCGATCGAGTGCGCGCCGTGCTGTAACATGGAGGACTGCGGCTTGCAGACGCACACTTCCACCATAGCCTCTCGTAGACAGACGCTTCAACAAATGAAGCTCGTGCCTCTACTTCCACCACCCGAATGGAAAAGGAAAGGAAAGAGGCGAATCAGGCAGTTTATCTTAGAAAGATGCTTCAAAGGGCCCACAGATGAGAAAGCCAATTCCAGCAGCATACGGGATCAACCAGT